GTGATGGTGGTAATATTCTGGCTTCCAAGGTGACCGAAATATTACCACCAACACCGAATTCTAGGATCGTCTCCACCCTGCAGCCCCGTGTCTTGGTGTTGGTGCTCATTTCCAGGCCTCCAATCCATGGCCCGTTTGCCTCAGGACTCGTGTGAGTTCTGCCAAGACGTGCAGCAATCCGCCGAGCGGCTTCGATGTGAGCGGTTGGGCTGCTGGTCGGCAGTGGGCGAGGCACGCGGCAGCTTCGTGCTGTGTCGGCGCAGCGGCAGCCCAGGCGCGGGTGTCTCTGCCGGTTGACTTTCCGGCCGATCCGCCTCGCAGGCGATTTTTTCCCCCAATCCCCGAGTTCCGCTTGAAAAGTTTGGCCGCTCAGGCAAGGGGGGAAACCCTGGGATACCCCCGGGGGGCCCTTCGGACGCACCGTTGTCGAGGACGGACGCACCCCATCGTATATCCCAGGGTGGGGCCCCAAGTTTCTGGCTCACTCGAAGACACCACGAAGCCTGGGATAGAGGTCGTCATATCCGCTGTCAGCGCTCGTTCTGAGGAGGAGGCGGAGGAGGAGGAGGAGGAGGAGGAGGAGGAGGAGGAGGCGGCGGCGGCGGCGGCGGCGGCGGAGGCGGAGGCGGAGACGGAGGCGGAGGCGGCGGCGGAGGCGGCGGAGGAGGAGGAGGAGGAGGATGATGATGATGATGATGAGGAGGGGGAGGAGAATAAGGAGGATAAGGATGATAAGGAGGATAAGGAGGATGAGGAGGATGAGGAGGATAAGGAGGATAAGGAGGATCAGGAGGATCATGTGGATCAGGAGGATAAGGATGATAAGGAGTATAAGGAAGATCAGGAGGACCAAGAGGATCGGGAGGATCAGGAGGATAAGGAGGATAAGGAGGAAGAGGAGGAAGAGGAGGAGGAGGAAGATGGCGGCGATTCGCGCGGTGTGAAACGCCAACGCCTGGGATAGGGGTCGACATATCCGCTGTCAACGCTCGTTCAGAGGAGGAGGAGGAGGAGAACGAGGAGGAGGAGGAGGCGGAGGCGGAGGCGGAGGCGGAAGCGGAGGTGGCGGCGGCGGAGGAGGCGGAGGAGGCGGAGGCGGAGGCGGAGGAGGAGGAGGAGGAGGAGGATGATGCGGAGGAGGGGAATAAGAAGAAGACGAGGAGGAGGAGGCGGATGAGGAAGAGGGAGGATAGGAGGAGGATGAGGAGGAAAAGGATGATAAGGGAGGATAAGGATGATGATGATGATGATGATGATGATGATGATGATGATGATGATGATGATGATGATGATGATGATGATGATGATGATGATGATGATGATGCTGATCATGATGCTGCTGATCGTGATGATGATGCTGGTAATGATGATGATTCTGATGATGATTCTGATGCTGCTGCTGATGATGATGCTGATGCTGGTGAGGATGATAATGATGCTGATGATGCTGAGAATACTGCTGCTGCTGCTGCTGATAATGATGATGATGGTGGTGGTGGCGATGGTGATGATGATGGTGCTGATGCTGATGCTGCTGCTGATGATGAGGAGGGGGAGGAGGAGGCAGAGGATAGGAGGAGGATAAGGAGGGTAAGGAGGATAAGGAGGATAAGGAGGATAGGAGGATCATAAGGAGGAGGAGGAGGAAGAGGAGAGGATGAGTGAGATGAGGAGGAGGAGAACGAGGAGGAGGAGGAGGAGGGGGCGGAGGGGAGGGAATGGAGGGGAAGAGGAGGAGGAGGAGGAGGAGGAGGAGGAGGAGGAGGAGGAGAATGAGGAGGAGGAGGAGGAGGAGGAGGAGGAGGAGGAAGTGATCCGCGCTGTGTGAAACCCCAACGCCCGCGTCGTCACCACGACGTCTGCGAGCCAACGTCGACGTCACGGCACGAGCCCGCCGCGAAGCAGTCCGGCGCACCCCTCCCGCCGCGGGCGGCCTGCTGCGCCCCGCGGCCGCGCCGCCTGGGTGGGGACGCTGGGCCGCGGCGACGGGCCCCGACGGGTCCGCGACGGTGCGTCGGCCGTCATCATCATCATCAGCATCAGCAGCATCATCATCGTCGTCGTCATCATCATCATCAGCATCATCATCATCGTCATTATCATCATCATCGTCATCATCATCGTCATCATCATCGTCATCATCATCATCATCATCATCATCATCATCATAATCATCAACATCATCATCACCACCATCATTATCATCATCAGTATTTTTATCATCAGCATCATCGTCATCATCATCAACATCATCGACGACAACATCATCACTATCATCACCATCATCATCATCATCCCCCTCATCATCGTCAACGCCAACATCATCAGCATCATCAACATCATCACATCATCACAATAGCATCAACATCAGCATCAACATCATCAGCATCATCATCATCATCATCATCATCATCGCCGCCTGGCGGTGGTCGGCCCGGGAATGCGGCAGGCGGGGGTAGGGCTCGGGAGGGGGTCAATGCAAGCGGAAGTCAGCCAGAGCGAAGGAGCCTGCGGGATCTTGCAGGATCTTGCAGGATCCTGCAAAGCCCGACTGGCCTGATTTTGGATTGACCGTGGTCAGCGGGTTCCCGATGAAGGGCTCGTGCTCAGGGATAGCAGCAGTCCAGCAGTGGCGAAGCGTCGTGGCCTGCCTTTTGGCCCACCGAAGGAGTTTCGAATAACTTTACCAGACGTGTTTTCAAACATTTCTGGCTGGGACTGTTTTTTGTTGTGTTACATCGGCTTCATGTTCCAAGAACATGTTTTGTCATTCGAGTATTCGTTGGTTTAGGAACATGTCGTGGCAGGCCTACAGGAATGCCGGGACGGTCGGTCCCTGCTCAAAGCAGAGGATCACGAGCGGCGAACGTAACCGAGGGAGGTGTTTCGTGTTACGGCCCCCCTCCCGAAGCTCTCGGCTGGGAACACGGTCGACCCGCACAGTAAGGGCTGGCGACTTTCCAAGGCGGCCCTTGCGCGCTTCTCCTTCGGCCCATCCTTGGCCGCGCCCCGCCCGCCACGCGTGTCGACACGGCCTTCCGAGGCCCTTTGCGTCCTGACCGTGCGGCGTGATCGCACGGGCTGACTGTGAAACCCGCCCTCCCCCTCCGTCTTGCCCCCTCCTCGCCCCCCCCTCGTCCCCCCGCGCAGTGGGCGTCTCCGGCGCGGCGCAGGCCGCCTTCGGGGGGAAGAGTCGTTTTCCCAGCAGTGTTGGGGTCCCAATCTGCCAGGCCCGCGGAGCAACCAAATATTGGAGAGGCCTGACGGCCGGTGCCGCCGACCCTGATCGAAAGGGCTAGGAGTGGGGGGAGGAAGCGGAGGATGTGGAGGAGGAGGAGGAGAAGGAGGAGGAGAAGGAGGAGGAGCATGAGGAGGAGGAGGATGAGGAGGAGGAGGAGAAGGAGGAGGAGGAGGAGGAGGTCCCAATCTGCCAGGCCCGCGGAGCAACCAATTATTTTCCTTCTGCGCAAAGGGAGATTCTTGCAGACCCATCGCGGTTATCCGTGTTGGTGGTCTCGTCAAAGGTGCGTCGCTCCAACCGATGGATGCGAGGCAGGCCCGAGCTGCGGCCCCACGGCATGCCCGACCGATTCTTCTCTGTCTCGCCTCTTCCTCCTCCGTGTCCTCCTTCTTCAGGACCTCTGACATCGTAGATTTTTTGGCACCAGGATTGCGTTTGGAGGCCCAACCTTTATCGAGGGCTCGGGTTCTTGCCGTTTTTGTCGTCGGGGGTGTCCCAGGGCCGTCGTGTGGAACCCCTCAGGCCGTCATGAGTTCTGCGTGACGTGGGCCCTAGGACCTGGCCTCTGGACCTCTCCCTGGGGACCACACTGTTGTCTCACAGCCCCGGGGCTTGGAACTGGCCCCAAGGGGCCGAAATCGAGCAGATCCTGGCCGTCACGGCTTTTCGCGTGACCGACCAACGGAGGTGTGCATCTTGGGGCTGCGAAGTCGACCCCAGACCCGTGCTGAGTTCAAACATTCAAAGGGGATCGTGCCAAGGCGACGGGGGCACCCCAGGAGGCCCCGCAACAGAGCCGCCGCCTTCGCCGCCGCCTTCGCCGCCGCCGCGGCCGTCGTCGTCGTCGTCGTCGTCGTCGTCGTCGTCGTCGTCGTCGTCGTCGTCGTCGTCGATGCCTGAGTTTCGTCGCCGTCGTGGCCGCCGTAGTCACCCGCTCGCCGCCCACCCTCGCTGAAGAATACCCCAGCGTCTGGGACCCGGTTCCTCGACCTTCGATGTCCTCTCTCGTCGTCGTCGTCGTCGTCGTCGTCGTCGTCGTCGTCGTCGTCGTCGTCGCCGTCGTCGTCGTCGCCGTCGTCGTCGTCGTCGTCGTCGTCGTCGTCGCCGTCGTCGTCGGCGGCGGCTGGCGGCGGTCGCCGTACCGGCGTCGGGTCGTCGAACGTCCGTCGCGTCGTCGTCGTGCGTGTCGCCGTTGTCGGCATGTCAGTCGGCCTCCTGTGAGCCATCCGGCGTGGGGTGCCTGCAGTCGGGCGTGGCGTGTCCCGTGATTCCGGCGGCCCTCGCCCCGTCCGTCACGGGCTCTTCCGTCGCTTGTTGCCCCCCGCGCGTGCGGGGGCGGACGGTGTTGTCGCGCGTGCGTTGCCCGCCCCTGGCGCCAGCCGCCGCCTCTCGGCCGCCGCTCCTGCCTCTCCGCCTCCTCCGCCTCCTGCGGCCTCTCTGCGCCTGCCCGCGCCGCCTCGCGCCGCGCCTCCGGCCGCCGCCTCTCCGACGCCTGCCTCCTCCGCCGCCGCCTGCGCCGCCTGTCCTCCTCCTATCTCCGCTCCTGCCCTCCTCCTCTCCTCCCGCCTCCCCGCCTCCTCCTCGCCTCCCTCCTCCCTCCTCCCCTCCACGTTTGGCCTCCTCTACCCCTGCTCCTCCCTCCCTCCTCCTCCTCCTCCTCCTCCTTGTCCTCCTCCTCCTCCTCCTCCTCCTCCTCCTCCTCTCGCCGCCCTCCTCTCCGACGCCGCCGCGGCCCTGCCCAGCGAACGCGCCCCCGCAGGCATCGCCGAGCTCCGGCCGAGCTCGCCCGGGGGCGCCCAGCTGCTCGACGAGCGGTGGCCTTCGGCGGCCTCCCGCGAGGCGCTGCCCTTCGCGCCGGGGGTGCTGCGGCGGCGGCGGCGGCGGCGGCGGCGGCGGCGGCGGCGGCGGCGTCGTCGTCGTCGTCGTCGTCGTCGTCGTCGTCGTCGTCGTCGTCGTCGTCGTCGTCTCACGCGAAACGCCCGGACCGCCCTACCAACCCGTCTCGGGGTGCGACAGGGAGGAGTTATTCAATTGAACGCCCCTGAGGGGGTAGACACCGCCGCCCCTCCATTTTTGGAACGCGGGGCTTGTGGGAGGGATCCAAGACGGCCCGAGAGGGTCCAAACAGACGTGGAAAAGGTCCCAAGAAAGGCCCCCCAGAGGGGCCCAAGAGGCTCCGACAACGGCCCAACAGCGCACCCGAAGGTGTCGTAAACAGCGGACGAAACCGAAGAGGGATACAGAGAAGCAGAAAGGAGCAGTTCCACTTAGTTTTGGGCCCTCAGAAGCGCCTCTGGGGACCCCCTTGGGCGAGCCCAAGACGGCCCAAGAGGGCGCCAAAAGGGCGGCCAAACGGCCCAAGATGGGGGTCCGAGCAGGGAGGAGTTATTCAATCGCTTCGCTCATTCCGCCGGCCCATTTTGCATCACTTGTGCTATATGTTTGTGCGTTCGTGGCGAGCGAACACACAAGGAGGAGGGAGGAGGAGAGGGAAGGAGGAAGCGTTCGTGAGACGATACGAGGGCTCTCGGGTGCCTCTTGGCGGTATTTCTGGGACCTCCTGGGGCGTCACGGGGGCCTCTTGGGGGCCTCTTGGCGGTCTCTTGGGGCCTCTCGGGGGCCTCTTGGGGGCTTCTTGGGGGCCTCTTGGGGCCTCCAGGGGACCTCTCTGTACCTAGAGCTCGAAATGTCCGTTCGGGTCCCCCGTCTGGGCCCGCTCTTGGAGCCGTCTTGGGAGCCTCTTCGGCCATCTTGGATGCCTCTGGGCCTGTCTTGGGACCCTTTGGGGCCGTTGTGGGCGCTCTTGGAGGCCTCTTGGGCCGTGTTGGGGCGATCCTGGAAGCCTCTTGGGCTGTCTTGGAGCGCCAGCAAGCCGAAAAGGAGAGAACGCCACAAACTTTCAAAAACTTGAGGATCATCACACATTTCTGCCTGTGGGCCCTCTTGGGAGATCTCTTGGAGGCCTCTTGGGCCGTCTTGAAGGCAATTTGGGCTGTCTGGAGGCCATCTTTGGCGTCTTGGATCGCTCTTTGACTGTCTCGGGCCATGTTGAGCTCTCTTGGAGGTCACTTGGGGCGCTCCTGGAGCGCTCTTGGGAGCCTGCTGGGACCTGGCCGGGACCTGCCTGGGACCTGCCCGGGACCTTGCCAGGGTACTTTTCGTCTGGGGACCCCCAGGGGCGGCCCCGCGCGCGCGAACTAGAAATAGTGTGAACCAATTACCGAAGATCTTAGCACGCCCTTGGCCCGTTGGGCCGGCGAATTTACAAGGACGAGGGATGGATGAGGAGAAGGAGGATGAGGAGGAGGAGGAAGAGGAGGAGGAGGAGCAGGAGGCGGAGGAGGAGGAGGAGGAGGAGGAGGAGGAGGAGGAGGAGGAGGAGGAGGAGGAGGGAGGAGAGGGAGGAGGCTGAAGAGGAGGGTGGAGGAGGAGGCGGAAGAGGAGGAGGAGAGGAGGAGGAGGAGGAGGAGAGGAGGAGGAGGAGGAGGCGGCGGAGGAGGAGGAGGAGGAGGAGGAGGAGGAGGAGGAGGAGGAGTGGGAGGGCGAGGCCGAGGAGGAGTGGCAGGGGGGGGAGGAGGAAGACGGGAGGAGAGTCAGGCAGGGCAGTATTGGACAGGGGGGAGGAGGGATATGGGGCAGGAGTGGGTTAGGAGTCGGTGCGACCACCTCCCTCGCTATGGGTTCGATTGACACAGAAGTGCCTGTCCCGTCTCTCTTTGCAGAGGCGATTGCGCTGGAGGAGTGCACGCAGGCGTCTGACGAAATTGCTCGAGTCCAAGTCGCGTACCAGGCGCAGGACATTTTCGATCGTCCACACCTGGTCGAGTCCGTACGCAGCTTTTGGCATCTTGCAGGCGCGTGCGCCGAAACGTCACGCGCACGTGCCAGAGGCAACACCGCGCGCGACCTGCTTGTGGGCGATGGATGATGGCGATGGGCGACGGTAAAATTCAACGCCTGCCGTCTCTCATGAGGTGGAGGTGGATAGGGGAGGAAGAGGAGGAGGAGGAGGAGGAGGAAGGAGGAGGAGGAGGAGGAGGAGGGAGGGAGGAGGAGGAGGAGGAGCGGCGGAGGAGGAGGAGGGAGGAGGAGGAGAGAGGAGGAGGAGGAGGAGGAGTGAGGAGGAGGAGGAGGAGGAGGAGGAGGGAGGAGGAGGAGGAGGGAGGGAGGCGGAGGAGGAGGAGAGGAGGAGGAGGAGGCGAGGAGGAGAGGAGGGGAGGAGGAGGGAGGGAGGAGGAGGAGGAGGGATGAGGGGTGGAGGGGAGGGAGGAGGAGGAGGAGGAGGAGGAAGAGGAGGAGGAGGAGGAGGACGAGGAGGCGGAGGAGGAGGAGGAGGAGGAGGGGCGGAGGAGGCGGAGGAGGCGGAGGAGGCGGAGGAGGCGGAGGAGGCGGAGGAGGCGGCGGAGGAGGAGGAGGAGGAGGATACGACGCTGTGGAGGCGGCCGCGCGGTTGCACAGGCCGACACAAGAGGACGAGGGGCAGGGATCGCCCTACCCCTCCAGCTGCAAAGGCGCGGGCCTCCTCCACCAAGAGGATCGCGGGGAGGACAGCAGCTGCGGCAGGCGGCGGCGGCGTCGGTGGGCGCGGCGCGCCTGCCGTCGAAGCTGTCGAGGTTGGCGGGGCGCGCGGACGCGCGTTCGCACGCGCACGCCCCCCCCCCACGACACTCCCCGACGCCGCCAACCGAAGACAAACAATGGTCTCGTTTGGCTATGCCTAAACGGTTTTATCCCCCCCTAGGCCGCAGTGTCTGGCTGGGGTGTTGGGGGGGGGGGGGGGGGGGGGGGGGGCGTGCGGGGGTGGGGGGCGTGGGGGGGAGGGGGGTGTGGTCGGTGGGGGGGGGGGGGGGAATGGTGGGGGCAGGGGAGTAGAGGGGCGGGGGGCGGCGGGGTGGGGGTGTGGGTGGTGGTTGTTGGGGGTCGTTGCGCCGGTGTCATTATGTGTGTTGCTTCTTACTTTTTTGTGGTTTGTCGGTGGTATTTTGTTGGTTGGTTGGTTTTTGGTTTGGTGTTGTATTGTGTTTTTTTCCTGGTTGGTTTTTTTTCTTTGTGTCTTTTTTTTTTTTTTTTTGTTTTTTTTTTGTATTGTTTATTAATTTATTTTTTTCTTTTTTTTTCATTTTTTTATTTGTTTCCTCCCCTTTTTCCCTTTCCCCTCTTCCGCAGCCGTCTGTGCTTCGAGCTGTGCTTTTACGGGAGGGGCCCGTGGCCCCTAATCTCATCATGAGGGGGTGGGGAGGATCCCACCCCGCCTGCTTGCTACTGCTCGCCGCGGCCGAGCTGGGTGCCCTGCCTCCGGGAGGGCGCACGGCTCCCGTGGCTGGAGCGGCCATTGGGGCTGCCGTTGGGATGGTGGGGACCGTGGACTTCGTCCCCGCCGACGGCACCGACCCCGCCCCAGAGCAGGTAGAGGAGGATGTCTGCATGGAGCCTGTGGGCTACATCGTGCCTCCCCCTGCTGGGCACATCCCCGCGGCCTCGCCCGTGGAAGACTTTCCCCCCGCGCCTTCCTCGTCGGAGTTCCCGGCTGGAGGAGGGGAGGAGGGGGGCAATCGGACGGAGGGGAGGACTCCAGATGATCATTGCTGGAGTATCCAGCGGACCCTCTCCCAGCTGGCGGGGGGGAGGGCTGCAGATGATCATTCCTGGAGTATCCAACAGACCCTCTCCCAGCTGGACGCATATCTCTCAGCCTGGTCGCCCTGCCGAGCCCCGTAGGCGTACACGGCCGGCGCCGGCGCACCGGGGCACCTGGTGAACCCCCTGGAGAGGACCCGTTCCCGGGATGGCCGAACCACCTCCTGGACGGCCTCTTGCAAGGAGGGGCATGGTTAGGGCTGATGATGTTCGGGAGCGCCCGCTGGAAGGGGTTCCCCCACTGGCTCCAGTACCTCCTGGTCTTCTTCTACCTCCTCTCCGCCCTGGTGGCCTTGGACCTCCTCACCCTCCTGGCCTATGCCCTGGCCCTACTCTCACGGGGCAAGGGCCCTCTGCGCAGGAGCGAACACCCGCACCCCTTGAAGGACTCGAGGCTGGTGTGGGGAGGGCCCGCCTTGGGCGGGACCACGCCAACAAGTTCTTCCAGGACTGGATCCGGGCCCACGGGAGGCATTCCAGCCGCCGCCCGCATGAGCTGCTCGCCATCATCGAGGAGGGAATGGTCCGGATGCAGCGAAAACCGGGCTCCACGCTGCCCGCGACGCGGAAGGGAGGGCAGGTGTACCTCTACGGTGCCGTGCTGCGCTGTGCGGATCCCTCCCTCCGTCAGCGGCTGGAGAACGCTCGGGAGCGCGCCGTCTACCTGGCGCGGGAGTGGGAAGCGGTGATCCCCCCAGACATTGTGGCGGTCAGCTACCACTACACCGGCGTGGAGGAGGGGCTCGTCCTGAACCTGGAGAAGGCTCTTCCCTATCAAGGCTTCCTCCTGGGCCTCGCCTGCCTCGTCGGCCGCGCCCTTGGCGGCGCCCGCCGACTCCTCCGCTCCCTGTCCCGAGCCATCGGGATAGACCTCCTGGGGGCGTGGTGCTGTCGCGCAAGGAGGACGGCAGCCGGAGCGGGGAGGCCCCGGGATCGCCAGCTCGAGTCGGAGAGCGAGGGGCCCACCATCGGGACGTGTGGTGGGGACCGCTTGGGCTGGCGCCAACCCGGAAGCACCCTGGGCACCCTCGGCCTCCGCGCCCCGTGCCCGGAGCCCCCGGACGAAGGGTTCACCCTCCTTCTGGTCGAGGACGAGCCCCAGTCGGACATTACCGGATGGGAGCGACTGGGCGGGCGCGTCCTGGCCCCCCTATGCGCTCGGCACAAGCGCATGTACCGGCTTGCCCGCCAGCACCTCCTCT